TAACATATCAATTGAATAATAAACATCAAACTATTTTCTATTTTTATCAACAATATATAAATTATAAAGATGACAAGCTCCAAGAAACAATGATTCAAGTAATTTTTCATTTGGCTTCATTTAAATTATAGAACCAATAATACCACTTAAAAATCCTTTTCAGATTTCTTTCCTTATATTATTATTGATAGGTGAGATTTCGAAAGAAGTTTTTGTTAAGAAAAGATAGAGTTCCATTTATTTTGAATCAAATCATTCTTCTCTATTTCTATATGTTATCTTAGTTCATCAGATATGTCCAAAAATTCCTGTTATAAATCACATTTCATAAATCTCTATTCATTTAGCATATAGAAGTTAAATATAAATTAGATAGAGACGCTGTTGTTTATAGGATTTATAAACATTTAAAAGAATCTGTTCTAATGTAGATCAAACAGCTTTTCAATAACTTTCTAATTCCCTCTAAAACTAAATCGTACTTTTCGCATTCTTGTTAAGTATGTGAATGTTTTCTTCTTAAAAACTAAACCATTACAGAGCAATCATTATTTATTAATTCTCTGACTAATCAGAAGCAACAACTGCCTTAGTGCAAATTATCTCAACATAAAAATTGAATTTATTAACGAAATTATAAAGATCTTATTTATCTGACTTTATGATTTCTGATTATAGCGGGTTTATCTTTGATGTTCCACAACCACCTCCACGTAAAAGGGATTCCAATTAAGATATTTGAGATAACATTTTTATCAAATTTTAAATAATAAATCCACCCCGGGATAAAATAATATATTAAGTTAAATCAATAGATTTGAAACTGATGTATTATGATTTCAGATTTTTAATTTTAATTACTTCTATTCTCTCTTTGAAATGTTTCATGTAAATGTGAGACCAAATTCTGCATCTGGAACTGGAATTAAATCAGCCAAATTCCAAATCCACAAGAATACAGGCGTTCCCAATTTCTAAAAATGATGGACAGGAACCTCTAACAAAAATTGGGTAAAAGTTAATTCTTTCTTGTATAACTTTGGAGAATGTTGTTCCTTTATAATTATATATTTTAGAAATTGTTAAATTTCTCTACTTAATAACACTGTTCTAAAGTTATAAGAATTCTTCATTTAACTATGTTCATAGAAATTATTAAATCAAAATTATAACTGATGGAAAAATTAATTCGCCTTAATCATCAATTTAACCTTAAAAAGATTGATAATTCGTTTTATGAGGCTTTAATTGATAGACTTAGAGTTTTCTATTTCATCCTGTTGAAGCAATCTGATTTTTCAGGCTTGATTATGTTTCCAAGATTTTTGGGATTTCTGAGATTTCTGACTCATATTTAGAGGTAGTAGGACAATCAATAGAGATTGGTTAATGAAAGTATAAAGAAAGTTATTGTTGGAAGTTTCACCAAGCATCTAAGTGAAATTAAAAGATATAAATTCTGAATAAGAATTGGATCTCATATTTGCTCTATTTGCTGTTGCTTTGGCTATTTGTTATTCGCAATTTTTGAAGCATAGTCAATTTGAAATTGTATATTTAAGGTAGTATTTTCTTATTAAATTTACAGAACAAAATTTTTAGCAGAATGACATATAAGTAACCTTAAATAAATTGATAATACTATTCAAAAACCTGTGAAACTATTACAATCAAAAATATTTCGTATCAAAATTTTAAAATTAAGTCAAATCACCTCTGGCTATTAAGTGATGTTCTTGATTCGATTTATTAAATTAGTTTTTATTGTTTGGTTCGAGGATGGTCTTCGTTTCACATCTCCATAGTAGGTTGAGATATTTACAGAATTTGGGCTTAGTGAGGTAACAGTTCTGGGATGAAGTAAATAAGATGAAAGCATACTCATTGAGCAATCTGGCCTATTAGCCTGCCAAGGTTACGCATTACACATTTTAGGTACAGTTGGATGAAATTACAGATGGTAATTTATAAATAAAAGTTAAGATTTTCATATTATGGGAATTAAAATTTTGATGGAGAATTAAAAATTATATGGAAAAATTACAATTAATTAAAATTATTATCTTATCATAATTTTATAAAAGTAATCTGAAGTACAAAGAATCCTGGTGAGTTCTTAAGAGTTATCAAAGGTTTAAGTAAATCCAAGAGAGTGAACAAGTTACTTTAACCCAAGTTAAGAGGGTACTAATTATAAAAAATGAAACAGGGATTACAATCTGGAAAATACAGATATAATTTTTCCATTTCAGATTCAAAATCCACATGAGTCTTATTATTCTCGAGGAAAGTGCAGAAGTATATATTAATGCAAAAAGTGTTATCTCGTATTTAAATTCAAAAATAAAGTGATTCCAATAGTATATCATATTTTTGCTTGAGTGGAGTCGATTTAACAAATATCATTAAATAAGCCTAAATTTACAGCAATAATTAAAATCGTAAAAATTCGTTTTCTAGAAAACCTATTGAAATAAGAATGGCTAACAAATTAGTGTTCATTGATGACGATTAAGTAGATAAAGTAGTTTTAAACTAATTAGTTTTCTCTCAAACTCTATCAGGAGAAAATTAAAGATTAGATTAGATGCTTAAAGTCCTCAGTTTAAATCTCAAAAAATTTAAAACAACTTTAAGAAATGAAGCGAATTCAAATTAATATTTCTTTCAAATAGAGGCTATCCTATTATTTAATTCAATTATATTAAATTAGGACTAATATTTCATTAGCTTATCACATCTAATCCTCTGCCAACACCAATCAACATTTAAGAATCACTGTTTTAATTGGTAAGTAGTCAATCTAGATGGTTGGAATTGCGTTCCAATTTTTTAAAATGATTTTCTACTCTAACTGTCCAGCAATGATTTATTCCTATATGTATATTTTTACTTATATATTTGAATGGAAAATAAAATACCTACATATTCTGATTAAACATCATTCTAGACTGTTTATTGAGACTAAATCCTCTCACATCTATGTCTAAATTTCAACGAAATGATTGTATAGAGATGAAATTATTTAATGGAATCATGCTCCTGAAGTAAATTTCGATAAAGCAAGTCAAGTCTGAGAAATTATACAAAATATTTGCACTGTAGAATAAATGATTAGGAATGAAATGCACATACTTATTCTATCAATAGATGATTGATTATCTAGAAATGAACATAAATTGCCAGAAGCATACTTAATACATTAATTATCGCATTGAGTATTGCAAAAATCTTAAGGTATTCTTAATTAAAGCTTAGATTAGGAAAAATAATAGCAAAATAAACTAGTTAGATATAATAATTTATTTGATTTAGTCCTAACCTTTTGAGTCTCCAAAGTAGGTGAGTTTCAAAGCTCTTATATAATAGCCAAAAATTCTGTTATAAATGCAGTCATTCGAGCTCAAGTTCTTCATAAATCTAAAAGTGTACATATCTGATTTTATAAATTAATATCTTCACTGAATCAAAATTAGAAATATACATTTATTTTGTAATTAGTGTCTTTCATTTAAAGCATATCTTTCATTAAAAAAGAGAATTATTAAACATTTCTTTCTTTTTACTTAAAATAAAATTATTATTGTAATTTAAAAATAATAAAGTTTAATAGAAAGAAACATTATATCCATTTATTATGAATATTCAGAAACCAATTGCTTTAGATTAAGATTTCAAAAAGAAAGCAAAATATTCAATCTTATCATTTTTGGAAAAATTATTTCCCTCTCGAGCGAATTCATTTTATTTAATGAAAAATTTGAATAAGCCTTAAATATTACATAAACTAAAGTGACTAATATGTGATTTATTTATCAAAAGAGCTTCAATTAAAAAGTAGTTAAATGAATTTATTTCAGAAATTCATCTTAAATTAGAAGATATATTTTAGATAATAAATGTGAAATACTATTTAATTTACATAACCTATTAGTTCTCCCCTCATTAAATTGAATGAAGAGAAGAAACCCTTTTCAAAAAAATCTTCAGAGATATTACTATTTTCAATTTTCAGTTTAAGCCCTCAATAATTTTATTCAAACATCTACAGGTTTTCTCATTTCTTATAGTATTCAATATAATTATAAACTAAGAATTTTTTCTAAGTTGAACAAGAATCAAACATGTAATCTGGATTTTATGAGCATCAAATAATCAAAAGGAACTTGGGGGATTAGAAGAGGAATCAAACATTCACATTAATAAGACCATTCGGTTGATGTGAGAAAAGCGAAAATATGAAAAGCACATTTTTCAAAATGTATAATTTTATAATTAAAGAGCAAAATTAATATTGTTTTCAATTTTGTAAATTATGTTGTATGTAAATCATCTTAATTCTAAAAGACTAAAATTTTTTAAATTTGGTAATTTTAATTTGTCACCGAAAAATTTATTTTGATTCTTTCGATACAAATTATTCATAATGACTAATAAATCATGTGATTATCTATTATAGGCAATCATCCACATATCACATTTATAGCATTAATAAACATTCCAATCGCTGTTTGATTAATTATTAAGTAAGTTATGATTGGATCCCATAGAGGATAACAAAATTTAGATCCTACTTTCTTACCTTATTGACCCTTTATTAAAAGGACCTATCAAAAAGGAATCAAAATCTATTTATCCCCATTTTATTAATTCCCATGATATTTTATATCGTTTCTAATATATAACTTTACATTACTCTCAAAAATTTCAAATATTGTGAGCATCCTTTAGTCATTCCTGCTCCTCCATTACATAACATGTTTCCATGGCAATGACACTATTAGATCTACATTCTTTTTTCATCATTGAAATCTCGTTTGAGAATGAATGTTACACATCCACAAATGCATTATAATCGAGGATATGTTAATAAATGCTGAGTTAATTGATTTGAATAAATTGATAATTTGTTTAAAATAGGTAGATTTGAAATATTAAAATAGAGTAGCTAGTTATTAAAGATGTTATGAACTTCGTAAGCATTTAACTTAAAAAAATTACATAAAGTCAAAAGCAAGGCTTATCGCAAATATGATGAGTGATTTTCAACAATTAGAAGTTTACCTTTGTGAAGAAGAATCTACCTTAAATAATCGAGCATGTGAGGGACTAATTAAGCTGCCTTTACATAATCTGGTAATTTTGAAATATTTTCTAAAGAGAAGATAATATATTGGAATTTGTGTAAATCGTGAGCTTTCAATTATTGATTATCTGAAATCACATTAGTTATTCCTACTTCAATCAACCTAAATTATATATATATGGTACTTTTCTTAATTTTGTTTAAAATAGTTTTAGTCACAAACAAAAATTTCTTAGGTAACTTTAAAAAAAGACAAGTGAATAGGTTAAGCAGGTTCAATCTCAACATTTTCATCATTGTAGTAAACCAGCTTATGATAATCTTCAAGCAATATTTCAAATGATTTTGTGTTAAGAAGAGTTTATTGAGTTATTTTTTATTAATTATTAGTTACTAATAGCGCATGAACATGTTCAAATCGTTTCAAAACGCTTTCAATATTTGGTCTATGTTTTTAATCTCTGACAAGGACATATTTCAAGAAATCTATGATATAAACATTATTTCCAAGAAGCTAACATACCAGAATTCAAATACTTTTTATTTTTCTTCAGGAATTAATTATTCAGTGGGTTAAGTGACTTGCAGATAAAATTAAACCCATTCTTTTTTAAAAAATAATAATTCTCCAGTCAATATTTCAAATAACAAGCAACCAAGAGACCAAACATCAGAGGACCTAGTTGTTCCTACCTTTTTTCTTCTATCATATGTATCTTATTCTTTTTTTGAATTCATGGTCAATGTTAGCATTTCTGGAGACTTAATATATTCTGTGCCCCTATTTCTTATACAATATTCATCCTCTTCATTAATAAATATACTAGATTCTCCGAAATCAGTCAGAACAACGTGCATACCATCCAACAAAATGTTATCAGCTTTTATATCGTAATGGGTAACATTATGATTGTGTAACATTTATACAGCCTATAGAACTTCCTTGTACAAACTCAAATAGACACCAAGATTATCCTAAAAGGATCCTTTCTGTTATTGTCTCCATTCTTTTAATGATTATGGGTATTTCTTCATTACAATTATATAATCACTCGAAGTTACACCATAATCATAGAGAGTAGCAACTTGGGGTGTCAATCTAAAATTCTCCATACAGGCTATTTCTGTAAATAGTCCATGAAGAACACATCTCTGTAATAAATTAATTGCAATAGTACTTCATATATGCTTTTGGGTAGTCCCATTTATTTTATTGCAACATATTCAGGTTCTTGCAAGTCGGTTTTGCATTGATAGATTACTCCGTATGCTCCTGATGCTATCTTCTACCAATCTGTATATTATTTGATATCAAACAGTGATATACACAATAATTTTAACAATCTAATAATCTTAATATTTGTAATTTTTTATAAAACTATTTTTATTACTTTTTCATTTTAGGAATGATTAAGATGATGATGCAATAAATATAGAATGTTGGGTTTTCCATTAATAATCGGATACTAAGAACAATATAAATCGTCTAATGTCCCTCTCATCGGCTTAATTAATAGGCAAATTAATAGAGATAAACAATTAGCATGTAATTCTTCATCAGAATATATTTTTCTTAACTTTCTTTCACTAAAATAGAATAACTCATCTTTTGGTTAATTCTAAAAATTTAATTTTAGTTGTTGCGATTATTCTTTCTCATGTTAACAATTGGGTAAATTAAGTTTAGGGACAGGTTATTTCTTATCGCTACTATTTGGATTTATATGCTTTTGTAATAGCATTCTTCTAAAACTTTCTTATAATTAAGCTTGAATGCATAATTCTGATTTAAATGGCATTGAATTACCTCTTTTATGATTTTATTAACCGTCATCAGGGGAAACTTTTTGTAATACAGTTTAGTTCTACTATTGTTTCGCTGAAGTATTAAATTATGGACTATGGCTATAAGATTAACTTGAAATATTAATCTATTTCAGTTTCCCTTCCAAATCCAAAGTTGGGACTAAAACCTTTTTTAATAAAATTTAACTATTATTTTTAGCCTATTTTTGTTTTTCTTCCTAAATTTCTTGGAGTTGCTATTTATGAACAGATTATTAATTTGGCTTTAGATTAGGTCTATCACTGATTTTGGAACTCAATCTCTCATTATTACTGGATGAATCCACTTAATTATTTTACTATTTAATTAAAGAAATCAATATTAATTTACTTCTTATTTTAATAACGACGAGTTATTTAATGGCTACTCTCTATTTTAAGTGATATCAAACTCTAAATCTATCTCTTGAGTTAGAAACTCAACTATCCTATACTAATAAAATTTTCTTGAAATGTCTTCACTTCTATTTTAGGCAATGCAAAACAAGCACTTAATATATAGGTTCATAAAAATCTAACTTAATTATTTTGATTATTTTTCATCTTATTTTGAGCTTGGTTATTATTTCTAATTAATTTCTTGGATTTTCTAATTTATTTCCTTCATGTCATTCAAATTGCTTTAAGAATACAACTTAATGAAGTTGACATAACAATATCTGATCATAAAGGTGGATAATTCTTCATTTGGATATTAAAACGACAACCCTATAACTTCAAATGCTTTTTTATAAACCTACACCCTAATCACTTATGGATTTTACAATAAATAAGTATGTTGTTCTATAAACTTTTGAAGAACTTTTTAAAGTTAGCTTAAAAACCCTTAAAATAATCTCACCTGCTATTTATATTCCTTGTCATGCTTCTAAAATAACAAGAGGATAGATTCGTAAAATAACAATATTCTCATTGCATGTATTTCAAAATTCTCTTCCTTATTTGAATTTAACTCTTAAAATATATAACTACTAAAATTCTTAATCATATCCAAAAAGATTTCATTAACATAAACATTCAATAGAAATTTAATGGAAGAATCATTGATTGCTCTCAAAAATAATCTTGAAAGAATGCTGATATATGTGGAGATAATTTGAGGATACTTTTGAATAAATGGTTTCTACGATTTAAATTTTAAAGTGGAATATTATTGCTGCTGCTATTATTATTAGTGTTATTAGGATGAAAAATTTAACTAAGACGGTTGGAATTGTTACTGTTGTGGAAATAACTAAGTTTAGTTTTAATTTGATTTTTAATCCGGAGATGTTTCAAACATATTTGATTTAAACATATTGTTTATAGTTTATGAATAATGTTTAGCTGATTTGGATATATATTGTGATTGATTAGGAGTTCGAGATGAAGATTGTTGGCAATTTATGATGTCAATTATTTATCTTTTTATCATAACTAAGATATCGATCATGTAGTCTAAAAATTAAGGCAACAAAATTCTGTTGTGAGTGTAACTCAAATATTTCTCAAGGATAGCTAGTAAATCAGATTCCAACTCATAAAAGGCATTTTGATTCATATCCATTGTACTAAGAATAAAATTAAAACGGTATTAAATGTGCTTTAAAAATGGGAATTAAGTTGTATTTGAATGTCTATAATTACAAACCACTTTTTCTAATTCATTTTTCACTGGAATCATCATTTCTGGAATGTTAGCAACTGTGTGAGGAGACTTAGAATATAATAACTCATCATACTTCAATGCTTCTTTCTGATTCATCATTTTCAAATGATTATTCTTTTTGTGAATCTTACTACAATTTAATATGTTATTGATCACAATTGAACAAATCCAAAATTAAAAAATATATCTTCTATTCACTTATCAATCCATTATCATACTTGATTTTGCTCTAATCACAAAGTTATCTTTTTAGGTATATATCAGTGTCAAAATCTTAATGTATTTATTTTGATGATATTTTATTTTTCTAGAAAGAGCTCGAACATAAATAATTTAAAATTGCTGAGTAAGGGCATAATTCATACTAGATTTTTTTGATATCTTTCAAGAGGAAATAAAGAATATTTCCCCAGAGTCTACAAATCTTACTTTTTTGAGTTTTGCTTTATTCCTATTCCAAAGATTCAGCCAGTGGATCTTCACCTTCCTTTAGTATACTTGGCCATGTATTGATTCCCAATCTTTTTAAAGATTCTAGATGTTGTCTTCTTTGTTTCAACAGCAAACATGATAGATCTTGAGTCAAACAATAACCCCCTAATAATTATGCTAAATTTTATAATCTAATATCAATATAGGACATATTACTTTTCTTTTGCATTCAATTTGCAATTCTAATCTTCCTCAATATGAATTGCTTAAGAACCACTTGTAAATTTAATTGCAGAATCAATTGAATGCGAGAATCTATTTGAACATGTAGAATATGATTTAAAAGGATCCGCCCTCCTTGTTGATCTTGTCATTACGCCAATTATTTCTAAACTATTTTAAGGTAATTTCAAAGGAGGTATTTTGAAATTTTTGTTTTATTGTCTGGAAGGCTCTACTTAAAAAGAATTTTCTTAAATTGATTATCTTGGTTAAAGGTTATTTTCTTTAGAATAAACAGTTGGGTAATGCGTCAATAAAAATTTGGTTAAATTCATATGAAAGTCTCCTGTGGTACTGAGTTTGGATAGTTTCATATAAATCGAATTTGGAGTTGTTAGAGCATTTTCAAATTTTTCAATGATTTCAGATAAATAGCTATATGATATTTTATTTATTACCCATCTTCATAGATTTATTATTTTAAGCCAGAATTCTACAAGCATTTATAAAACAACATTAAAACATTTATACAGGAATGTTCATCTAAATGATCCAAAATCGAATTAATAATTGTTCTATTATCCATTTATCCAAATATGTCATAAATTTTTTCAGAACATTGTTAAAATAAGTTCTTAGGTTTTTGTGTTAGACTTTCCATATACTCACTTAATTTGATTTTTGTATTTTAAATTGGAGGAAATTAGATCTCACTGCTATGACATAATAATTATATTAGTTTCTTTGCAGCTTAGCCATCTCTTAAATTTAAATTTTGTAATAACTAAGGAGTTTCTGGAGTGAAGTGATGCTGATTAAATATATTCATTTTTTATATTAATAATTAATTTCAATAGAAAAAAATAAATCATTTCACTCAGTTTCTAACTATTGTTTGTATTATAAAAAGCCTAGAATTATTATAAGATATTACTTATCCCTCCTTTTGGCTGCAATTAAGTCAATGTAAACGCATCTTAAGAAATTACTGGAATAGAGTCTGATGAGAGAATATCCAAAGCCTTAATCTTCATAAAATCACTGAAATTAGTTTCTGTTTGGGGGTTTTCTTGTTTTTAATGAGATTATTGAATTAATTGTTAATTAAAAGTTACATTTTTCTTTTTAACTATTTCTAATTAGTTCTCGTTATATTTATCGCTGAATATCACAAAATCACTTATGTGTTCACATTCATTCACTTGCATAGACTGTTTAAATGTTTAATTTTCCAATTAGAATTCGCTTAAAGGTTGATTCTTAATATTTTAGAAATTTTATAGCATTTATTCGTACCTTGTAGAGTTATTTAATAAATAATCTTATTCTTGTTTATCGTCTTCAAGTTATTTTACTTCATCTTTGTAGTCGCTGTACCTTTAACCTTTACCAGATGAGATTTTATCACTATTTTTATTAATTAAAATGCTCTACTAAGATGGAATTTGAATATTATTTTTCTCAGTTTCTTTGGGAGAGCATCTTCTATCGGAACTCTCTTTTTAAAAAGGTTACACTACAATTGAATTTTTCGTTCCCATAGGACTGGATGCTTGTGATTATCTAACAGCACTATTATTTTAGGAACTTTTATTTTTCAAATTTGATCCGCTATTTTAAATTTTGTTCAATTTTGATTAGTTTTCGAGTGACTTTGAATCTCTTGACTAAATAGATTAAGATTGAGCCTGAGATTATTATCTTACTATTTTTTCCATAATTTCAATTTATTCAAAAAATTGGACTTAGTTTGTTTATTCATCACTTTTTGTGATAGTTTACTCCTTTTCGCTTTCTTAATTATTAGTAAACTGTCTACTGCACTTAATAATTTGTTATTAATTTTGAAAGGGCATTTCTTACTTAGTATTATGATACGGAATCTCTTACCTAGAACTATTTAAATCAAATTCAGGTTAGCAAGGTGAATCCTTTTCTTGTAAAATTTCACATTGTTCTTTTGGGGATTTTAGTATAGTTTCCAACTATAAAGGTCCAAAAGTATTTCTACAATCCGATCCTTTTAAATAATCAAGCTATTATTATTCAATACTGCTTTCAAATGAAACATTTATTTTTTTATGCTAATTAGCAGATATCTCAGCAGGAATAATTGATGATAAATTACTAATTGTGATTTGATTATTAACATCATCATCAGTATCATTGGGGCCTTTCAAATAAGCTGGTAACCTTTGCTATTTTATTTACTTACTAATATCTTAATATACCTATTTTTTTTCGTATTAGTTTTAAAGTTCATTGTATTCTGATACTTATTATTACAAAAATAATTTTTATTGTTGTTATGATTATTAAGAATTGAAAACATTAAATTATTTAGCTTTATTTAGATTAGAATTGTCTTAATTAATTTCTTAAATTCTCTCTTATCTACAAGACTTTTCAATTTAAAATTATTAAGTTTATGCAAAAGAATTAAAATAATTTTTGTCAATTTTTGTTTCCCCTGCTTCTAAAAATTTGTTAAAATCTAATTCCATTTTTTATAATTTTGTTTATTCAAAGACTGGTTTATTCTATCTTAACTCTAATTGTAAATTCTTCAACTTTTACTATTCATTTTAAGAAGTTGATAAAATCTGTTTTGTATTATTTAAAATATTATTGGTTGATTCTTTGTTAGTTATTTGCAGTTCTCTTCCAATCGGCGAATGACCAGATCTTGCAGTATTAAACACTGGATATTATTTTTCTTAGTTTATATTAAAAGGAGATTAGAAATAGTTTACGCATTGCTTTTCTTAATTGATTTCTATGGTGTTCTTTACCTGTTAGTCTTGATACATTTTGGTTTTAGAAAATTCATCAATTTATTTTTATCCTTATGGGTTCTGATAATCAGGTAGATGATGCTGTTATTTGGAAATTGATTCTATCTTATTATTCAATCTCTGTAAATAATCAATTTATTAATTATATTTACTAATATTTTATAGTGGTGTTCTTTCTTCAATCTATTATTAAGCAAATTGTAACTAGTATTGAGGATCATAGGTAAATTTTTTAATTTCTTAAATTTATTTGATTTTTTGAGTTTCTTATTTCAAACTCTAAAAATTGCTTTGCTAATCAACAAAGGATTGTGATCTGATCTAGTTTTCCAAAGATTTCAAGAAAGTTAGGGCATGTTATCGTTCTTAAAAATGTTTTTTCTAATCTAATGTTGTGTTCATCAGATTTTCTTAAGAACAGAAACTCTGTTTATTTTGAACCACTAGCTTTTATTATTATGATTTTATTAATTCTAATTGATGTTCGAGATATTGTTATTTTTTGAATTCTTAGACCTTAAAATCATCAAACCTAGTTTCCCTTTGTTCTTAAATGATTTTTTCTGGCTATTAGTTGGCTTATAGAATAGTATTTGAATATTTTTTTGTGACTTCTTAAATATCTCTCAAAATATTTTGTTTCAAATTATCCACCATTTCAGATAAAGGTTCTCTTATATTAGCCTTTTATTGTATTCTCAGGGGACTTATGGATCCAAATCCCTTCTGATTAGTTTGTCTTATGCCTACTATTATTCCTGGAGATTATACTCTTTAGATCGGGCTTCTACTATAGATTGGAGTGAAACAATCTTTTTGAATAACTGGTTTAGAAAATGGACTTCTAGTAGGGCTTCTCACAAAGTTTTCTTTATTACCTGTGTAAACACTTTATGTTCTTTAATTTCTACTAAATTATCTGTTTGTTTAAATGTTGCTTCTATTGGAATATGCAATGTCATTTTCATGTTAGGCGAAAAAATTCGTTTGAAAGGGCACTTCACAAAGTGGCAATTAGCGGTCTGTTGAAGAATTTTTTTTAATTCCAATTATTTTTTTGACTTGAGGTTAAAGTGGAGACAATCGGCCTGCAGTTTCATTAATAAGTGTAGTTAATTACTGAACTGCTTAGTTTGATTTTGGATTTCTGAATACTGGACTGTGGCGAAGAGTATAACAGTTGTTTAGCATTTTTTAAAATTAAATAGTTCATTTTTAACGTAATTCAAAGTATTTCTATACTTTCTAGTCAATCCACTTATAAAATTCAATGTTTTCATTATATTTTTCAAACCATGGAGATTTCTCAAAATTCTTGGTTATCCTTTCCATTCTTTCAAACAATTCATGTGCCATCTATGTTTTGATAATATAATTACTTTCTTGGCCAAATACCCGATGAGCCAATTAGGAAGATATTTTACCTAAGGATTTGAGTTAGTAATAGCACGAACTCTGCATTTATTATCATTTATAGGAGTCAATTCAAAAATATAGTAATTGATTATCAAACTAACAAGTTTTTTATTTGTTTCAAAATGTATGTCATGTTTCTATTGATAGTCGATATTATGATCAATAGACTTGCAAACAAAGACTATTGTTCCATTGATCATAAGCCTATCAATGCCCTCGCCAACAAATACTGCCCTTCTATCTGAAATGAATGGGAAGTAGACTACTATATCACAAATCTTGCATGTCTTAGTCAATTATTTATTCATCGAAGATCTTTGGCAAAAAGGGACATAATTATGATATAGATCGATTTCGTTGATGAGTGCCATCAACTTTGTGATGTTGGCTTCAAATACGGAATCTAAATAAACAGTTACTGTTTATTCTTCTTCAAATAGTTTATATTTAATGATAAGATTTTGTGATTGTTTTTCTATTCTCCATCCTCCTGACTCTAATTCATTCAGGTTCTATGTAAGTATGAGTTTTTTTTCTTGCAAATCCTCATAGAATTCTTGGTAACCTTTTTCCTTAAACCATTGAACTTATTTATTATTTAATTTAAGGAAAATATCTTAGGTGATCTCGAAAGCTTCATCTAAAAGGGCTTCCTGATAGAGACCTTTGGCATGTTCCATTCTTATTTCTAATTGATTTATTTCTTCTTATTCTGGATTATTGTTCATTTTATTTTGGTGGAAGTTGTTTTTCAGGTGAATTTCAGACTCAACAACTTCTTGCTCGAATTGATTTGGTATAACTTCATCCTCAATCAGATTCTCTTCCTAAATTACTTACAATTGGCTGTTTCTCAAATTATTTTAAGCGATTGCTTAATTCTCCTCAATCATGAGACTTTCACACAATTTCACTGTTTTCTTCTTTTGGGGTGCTTTTGGAGCAAAGGATTTGAATGTCTTGATTAACTATACTTTAGAGGGAAATCGATCTAGGAATTTTGGATGATATCTTACATTCTTCGTATTCATTTAGCATATTGATAATTTCAAGGGATTTTTCTGAAGTATCATCTAACTAACGAAGTTATTTGGATAACTAATTATAATTATTCGATTACCCTTGTATTTGGGTCGAGTTTGTTAATTTGTTCTTTAAGGCCTGTTTTAAAATTATAGTAGTAATCTATAATATAGGTGCAATGATCAAAGGCTTGGCATTTGTTGAGTATTAAATCAAACTAAACTTTAACTTGGAGAACATACTTCTTTTCGAAATTCTTCATAAATGTAATCAATTGTCTGCATCTGCGATTCGTCTTCATAGAGTTTATTTTTCATTGAAGAGTTTATTATTTAATTAAAATTATATATGTTAGTTCTTGCAGCGAAATGAAAAGTCACTTTATATTCGATACATATTATTTAGTTAGTATTAAGTGCAGTTAAAATAAATTGAGTAATATACAATATTATTAATTTTGTTTTATAATGAGTATAAAGCAGGTTCACCCTACAAATGAAGTTGAAGAATAGAACGAATTTAAAAAAGGATTGCAGTAATTAACTAGTTATAAAATGTATAGCTCTGTTCAGACATTTAACGATCTTCGAAGAAGAAGAATACAAGTTAGAGAGGCTACATTAATTTTATCTCCGAAACTGTAGATTTTAATTTAATGTTTGTAGTCAACAATATCAGCATATGTTGCAACCAAAAATAAGTTAGTTTACAAGTTAAGATTAAATTATGGAAGAGGAAGATGTTTTGGTGTTGGATGGCTTTAAAATTAAATTCAATAGGGCCATCAGAAGATTACTAATCATTTTGAACTTTGCCAGAGCGATAACCTACTTTTCAAAATAGAAAAAGAAAAAGAACATTACTTAAAGTTCAATTTCCAAATAATAAATTCCCTTTCTTCCTCACCTAAAGTTTATTCGTTTGTGGAGAGAAATTATAAGTTTCAACACTGTTGTTGCAAACATCGTTTACCCAATTTACATCACTTATTCTGAGTTTGACTAGTATGTAAGTACATCATTTATTCTAGGATTTTATAACGATAGTTACATTTATTATAGATTTTTTATTCTTTGTTGATGTTTTATTAGAATAGATGATTTGTCAGATAGATAATAATAACATTCTCCTAAGAACATTTTCATCAATATTTATTCATAATGTAACTGGATGGTTAATTTTTGATATACTGACAATCCTACCCTATAAATTATTTGTTGATAAAATGGAAGATTCTTTCTAATTGAGAGACTATTTTAATTTATTGAAATTAATAAGACTATTCAAATATTTCACTTAAACAGATAGAAAAATTCTTTATCATTCAGCCGATTCAAAAAAAACTTAAATCTCTATTGAAGATAAATTATCTTTCTTTGATTATTTCTCTTTAATAGATGCCAAATTCCTAAGTGTTTTGAACATTTTTAAAAATATGTTGATATTAATAAGTGCATTTGGCTGTATGTGGCATTATGTACAATATTATGAAGGAATTTCTTTGGGAGAAGATCATAGTAATTGGACATCATACATTGATGGGTTATTCTGGGCTATACAAACAGTCACTGTTGTTGGATATGGCAATGTTTCTATTTCTACTTCTATGTAATATAACCTTGTCATTGTGTGGCTCTTAGTTGGAGTAGGATTCTATTCATTTACAATTGGAAATTTAGCTTAAATCTTAGAATAGCAAACATCGGCTGAAATTTAGAAAGAACACTTAGAAGATTTAGAAAACTTGATGGACACAATCATAATTCCAGAATGGTTGTCTGATCAAGTATCACATTTTCTGACTTACAATCTAGAAAATAATTCTTTCTGGAATTATAGAAAGTAAATTTAAACTATAATAATTAGAGAATAATAGACTCTTTGCCGGGATAACTGAAAAAGTATACAATATGCTTTTCATAATAACAATTAATTGTAAACACTAATCTATTTAAATTGGATATTAATATTGCCTCCAAACTCTTACCATATATGACAATATTCTACTTTTAAAAATATGAGACAATCTATTATGTTGGCTCACCCAGTATGGACATTTACTTCCTAATAACAGGAGAAGTATGAATATTCGAAATATTACTAGGTGAGATTGTGTGATGAATAAGGTCGAAGCCTGTTAAACATCATTGAAGGCAGTATTTTTGGTGAAATGGAGATTCTAGATTAAGTTAATAGAAAACAAAGTGCTATTGCTTCCAAAAATTCAATTGTTATCATTTTTCCTGTTCAGATATTTTTAGATATAATTTAAACAGATGAAAGTCTTTCTTTTGAAATTGAACAACTGGGGTTGCGAAGAAAAATTCTTATCAAAGAGAGCCATCTCAGAATGAAATGTAGAGAATTATTTTATATATTTAGCAAATTAAAAGGTAAGAAGAGTAAGTTGTATAAATTACAAAGAATAACGAAAGCCAACAGATATAAGCAAAAATATTATGGAAAAGGAGTTTAAATAGAGAATTTCAAAAGAATCCTTTTAGTTCATTCAAACAAGGATATTAAAATATATTTTTGGAAGAAATTAAGAAAGGAAATGGAGATCATTTCAGAAATTTAGAGATGCTGTTTAAAAAGTTATGAAATTTAATAAGCAAAAAAGAGAACTTAATAAACGGAGAAGAGAAAGTTGTATTGGATTAAAAATGATTAATAATTTCAAAGGAACTACTGAAAATGAGTAATTGATGATTAAATAAATATTTAAATTATAGAAGCAAAAAAGGCAATTAATGAAAACTTTGAAGTAAATCATAAATCATGTAAAATCAGGATTATAAGCTCCCTTGCTAATTACACCTTCTCCTTATTTTTATTGTTTATTAAAGGAATAAAAATAATAAATGTTAGAGAAAAAGGAATAAGAGACTTAAAACAAATTTCAAAAACAATAAAAAATTAAGAAAATCAATCCATATTACTAACTAAGATATTTAAATGATTTTTGGAGTAAACTATAAAATGAGTTAATTTAATACAAAAATGCAAAGACAGATCTCAGATACTCTCAAATGGAAGTGGATGGAGTTTATTTTGAAATTTAAGGTTTGATAAAATCTATAATATGAAATTCTGCTGAGTATCAATAATATTTCAACTAAATATATAAAATCATTTTTCCTTATCTTTACATTATTGGATTAATTAAGTTAAATAGTCTTCATAAATATTTTCAAACTAAATTGATATATACATATATATATTACAGTCTTTCGATATTTGTATACTATCTTTTATTCATTTGAAACATCATTTAAACATTTATGAAATAGTTTAATGTAAGATCTATCCTTTTAGAAGCTTTTTAGTTGTCGTATATTTTCAAAATTTTATAATTTTTCTGGGATTTATAAAGATTTGTCAAAATTGGAAAACAAATGTTTGGCCTAGCCTAAAGAATATGAATTACTTTTTGTCGATCATCATTTCTTATATCTTTTCCATTAATTTAAATCATAGATGGAAATCTATAAACTAAAAATTAAAACATGAAAGAACAATTATTAATTGGATTGTTTAATATTGTTAATTTTTGAATTTCACTCAAATGCTTATTAATAGATTTAGATAACTTACTTCCAATTTTGCTAATTATAATAGACTATTTATGTAATTATCTTTCAAAACTAGTTCTCTTAATTTTGAATAATCTTTTAAAATCGACAATTAAGTGTCAATAATTGAATCAAAAAATACATATTGAAAATGGATTTTTTCAATAATTTAACTAAAATTTTAAGTTGGTAATACCATAGCTGATGCAGTTCCATATATCAGCAAAAAGACATCCTAAATATTATACACAATGGTATACATCCTCAACTTCAGCATGTCCTCCTTCGACAAGTTGATGTTCTAAGCAGCTCTTTTTATTTAATTAGTTATTTTTTTCGAGCAATTGAATTCGTTTATATTCAGCTGTCCATTGCTTTTTGATCAAGACTAAAATATCATCCTCTTAGGCAGCAGCAGTGTTTGTCAAAGAGTTCTTTAAACTTGGTATAGTTTCTCTTAATGGTTGCTATTGTTATTGTTAGGTCGGAGGGTTTTTTAAATTAGTAGGCTCTTTTTTAACTTAGGCAAAGGGTGCAATTTCCTCTTTAGTTTTAAATTCTGAAGCCACCCCATGAATTTCAAGGCCCATTTAATTGGGCTTTTTTGGTTTTTACTATTATTATAATTGCTGTTGTTATATTTGCTATTAGTTTATTGTTTTCTTTTTAATGGGTTCTGTTTTCGGTATGTCAGCAAACAAGATCTCTTGTTTGATTTAATCAATAGGTTTTCCATCTAAAATTTTTAAAGTTTCAAAGGTCTAACATATGTATCTGTAATAATCAGATTTGTTTGTTTATATTGGATTATTTTCTAGAGATAATTCTGATAGATTGAAAATACAGGGGAATGAATTAATCCTGTTTTAGGACATAAATAATTTTTACAATTAGGGGAGGACTAATTTACAAATAAAATATACCTTATAAGTGATCTATATTCTCAATTTGGTTCATTTTAATGTTTAATTCTATTAGAGAGCTTAATTCTTCAAGTGATTCCAATTTGGTTATTAGATTATTCCCAACATTCAAAATTTTGAGACTTTTTAATTTGCTTAATCCTTCCAAATTAACTATGCGATTGCTATGTAAATCTAGAACTTCTAATTTAGTGAGGTGATCTAAATTTTGTATCCTTCTAATTTAATTTTTGGGTAACAATAAGACTTTTAATTTTTAAACTTATTTCAATTCATCGATTTCTTTAATTTAATTATCATACAAGTCTAGATATAATAAATTGGGTAAGGAGACAAGATTTTGGATTGATGAAATTCTGTTATGTTGGTATGTTAAGATTTTTAACTTTTCTTCTCCTTCTAATAATGGCATATGAGTCAAGTCTAAATAATCAAGACTTAATTTTTCTAAGTTATTGGCTCTTTCCATAGGTCTTCTATAACAAACCCAAATGCCAGGTATTTGTTATAATTCAGAGAAGATTATGTTTCCTCCATTCTCAATCTTTTTGATGGTTCCATTTTTAACTAAATATCGATACCTTGTATTAGAGATAAAACTGTTACCTCTCATCAATTTCAACTTGGAGAATATCTTGAAACTCTTGAGAGTAACAGAGTATGTCATTCTTGGTTTTCTTTTTAGTAATTTCTGGAAGTTAACCTGAAATAGGTGTTTGATTTGATTGGGTTGGCTTATAGGTTGTTTTTTTGGAAAAACCAGTAGAGTAGGTAGCATTAGCTTCTGAAGATCTCTGATTCTTATTTGGAGACATCGATGATTTTGTCTAGTTGAAATAATTTGAATTATTACATATGCATAGCGTGATTCTTTATTCATTAAAATAATAATGTATAAAAATGAACTAGACTATACTGCAAACTTAAAACTAATCGATGATATCACTACAAAAGAGTTCAAGCAATACGAAGTAGGCCATCGAAAGACCTATTCTCAACCAGATTAAGTACAATTAAAGCGCTAGCCTGATAGGTTGGGTAATGATTTTATAATAAAGATAAGAAATCTCTATAAATCAAAGTATAACTTTACAAATGTACCCAAGCATCTTCAAATATATCAAAATTAAAGTGAAGGAACTTACAAAACCATTAAATTTTGTCTATGAATCCAACAATAATTAATGTTTAATCAAGATATTTGTATCATCAATAACTGATAGTCCAAACATTTTAAATAATAGTTTACAAGTGATTGTAAAAATGGTCATCTATAGATTAGAATAAATCAAGATTTTAATTTACTGAACCTCCATCTCATATCACAAAATTCAAATGCGATTATGTATTCTTATCCATTTACACTGATAAATATACTGATTTGAAGATCAAAGCCACCATTGGAGTTCATCAATCCAACACTAATAGAAGTATTTAGAAAAGATAACAAACACCAATGCTTTAAATTCCAAGAGAATTATTAACCAGCCGAGAACCGGGCAGTTACACTTATAGAAGCAATCTCTCACGTATGATATTTATTTCAATTTTAGTAGTGCATAAACCAAAAACTAGTTCATCATTTATTCGATCGAACAAAGAATCTCAAGTCAAATTTAAACTAATATTGGATTTTAAGATTAAAAGTACCAAGCAAAAGAATTCATTAATTGAAGAAATGATGAAGAAAAAGTCTATAATTTAGCATAACAAGAAATTGCAGATTTTGGAATCCTCTTACACTCATGAACTTGACAGATTGCAATCGAGAGTACAACGATTAAGGAGTGAAATTAAGTTACACATCAGCAATATCGATATGCTGTGGTTAGAATTACTATTTATTACGTTGTTAGCTAAGGCAATCAAGCATTAATATTATGTATGTTTAAATTTAAATAGAAACGAGTCATGAGAATAGTGATTAGTAATAAGGTTTAAGTTTGTTGTAGAAAGTTCATGAGAATTATGCTCAATAAGATTAGTTCCAGATATTAATATGGGAAGAAAGAGGCCGTCTATCTTGACACGAATATTCTTTTTTATTTTGGGGCCAAACTTATGAGAAACAAGGCTAAGGAAAGGGTTTATTCCATACTCAATCATTTCCTTTACAGATATGGGCATTTATCAAATGGAATGAATAAAGTGCAATAGTTTAATTAAAAAATTAAATATATCCAATAAAAGTGGAAGGCATTTAAGAAATCTGAAGCTAATTACTTAAATAGAGTGGCTGACTAAATTATTGATAAATGGGGATTTTTGTATCGAGAAATTATTGGAGAACTTTAAAATGCTTCTAAGTCTGCCCCTACTTAAGACAAAAGAGTGCTCTTAGAAACTATTTCAGAAAATCTTAACAACTACAAAAGAGCATTCCTTTAGATTAATAACATATTTGATAAATTGGCTAGTGGATCAACTGTTTTTAGACCGATGAATAATACTATTATGAAAGATATCATGCATCAATATGTTATTAAAAAAGCCAATAAACTTTAATGATTTATATATATTTATTCATATATATTATTATTGCATACAAGTAGGTTAATATATGGCTAGTCAAGATTTGATATTGCTATGACAGATCTTGTTAATTAAATAAAATTGTTACTTCAGCAATAATAGATTAAAGTGATTCCAATAGCAATTCGTCCATCTATTTTATATAAAAATACTCTTACGAATGGAAAAATTTTAATCATACAGTTAGGATTAGTTTCTCTTATCAATGACTCTATGTTTTGATCTCTTTATAATAATATAGCTGCGTTAAAGAACCGATAGTAATTCTCTATTATTATTAGGTTTTTGATGATGAATACCTGTAAAAAAGTGATTATGCTTATGCTTAGGGTTATTTTGAATCCAGAAATGGAGACCAAAATGCTTATCATTTACATCATATTCTCTATAAAAGAAATCGAAATCGAAAGTTTTATTTGCAAAAGGTAAATTATCAGTAGTTATAGATCGATTTCTAACACGCTTTAAAATTTGTAAGAATTCTTATTCATTCAACTTTATTTTTGGCGAATATATCAATATTTTAAGTTAGCAAATGTCTTCTACTCCTTCGTCTGCTGGTATAAAGTCAAAATTAAGAAAAGCTGATTCAGACAAGCTCTTTTTCCTTGAGCTCTCTCTTATCACTATTTATCCAATTTGTTCATATTTCTTGATTTATACAATAAAGATCATACTTTCAAATATTCTTCACATGTTTGAGCATGCAAAGCTCCGCTTCGACGGCGTCTCTCGTTAATGGGTTGTTTTTATTATTATTACATGCCAAATTATAAATATTTTAATATAAAAATTGATCATTAAGATTCTTCATCATTTATTTTAGGAGCTAGATATAACTTAAGAGATCCCATCTCCTCAACAATATATTCAATCACTAATGGCTAATCTTAAGACATTGATAATATAACCTAACTAGACAGTGCAGATGCCTTGTTAAATAAATTGAAATATCTATTATATCCATTATAAATTTACCTCACTGCAAAACTCAAATTCACTGGTTCATCAACATCACATTCTACTTTCTCCTCTAGTTTCTCTGAATCATTGGTTTTAACAGAAACTTGACCCTCTCCAATATCACCCTTAACATAAAATTTGATTCCATCCTTTGATGTCTCTATTCCTATAGCCTCATTTATGTTTCCCAATTCTCTACAAATTTTTGTAAATTCACTTGAAGGCATTCTGACTACTGATGAATACTCTGTATCAGGCACACCTAATTATTCCTAATCTAAGGACATCAAATTCAATTAAAATTCACTTATTCTATCTAATCTATTAATATTCTATATACTTTTTGATTCAAATGTAAATGATAATGTTGTTGGTTCTTCTTCTTAAGTTCTCAAAGTAATTTGATCATCATAACCTGAGCATCTCAGAATTTTTTACAAATTTTCAATGCTTAAACCCATTGTCAAAGATTTCTCACATCTATATTTTTTGAATCCCTTCTCATTTAATTACAAGGCCACCAAAGCTACATGTGATGTATCCATAGCCTAATGTATTTTTAATTTACAAATTTACTTATAATGAAATTCCTGTTCCATTTGCTTCTAAATTAACATTCTTTACTAATTCCTTAACTGCCTCGACAATCTTTTTGAATAAAACTCCATCGTTAAACTTGGCCTCGAACATCTTGATAACTTTTTCTTAATATTTAAAATTAATAAAAGAGGGAAATATTGTAAATTAGATTTGCCGGGCAATTAGTATTTTCTTATTTTTCACGATATTTATTTTTCCTTATTATTATCAAATTAAATGTAATTCTATAATTATCTGCTTTTTTTTTTCAATCTCCAGAACTTTTTAATTCTAATTTAAATTCAAACTAATAAATATTCCCTTCTCATCTCGCAAAACATCTATATTACCTCCACAAATTCCACAATTATTTCTCCTCATTTAAAACCTAATTCAAGATTGAAACTATATGATATGAACTTTGACGATCTTAACTTTATCAAACAACAAATTTTCATCGCAAACAATGACCAAGGCTTTGGGAGAATTCTATACAATAATGTTCTAAAAATATTTTTCAAAATAAAAACAACTTAAACATGAAAATCAATAATTTGAAGTAAGTTTATATATAATCAAAGAGCTGGACAGTCTATGGAAATTTCAGGTTTTTTTCTATTTACAAATTTATTTCTTCTCAAAGAGAATTAATCTACAGATTCGGTTAAGTTTGAATAATAATCGTCTTATTTTTTTTTTGGATCTGTACAGAATTACAATTTTGATTTTCTCAAATAATCCATTATAGATCTAATCTTTGGATTTGGCTTGTGATATATCTCTAATTCTATTGAGTCTAAACTTGAGTCTAAGTAGTCTTGCATTATAATTTATGAATTAATATTATTAAAACAAATTGATTAAAAACTCCAATTTAAATATATTACCACATAATAACAATCTAATATAAATGATAAAACTGATTTAATAAAAATTATATAGAAAATTTGTTTTAAATTAATTGATTCATTCATTAATTATACATATGTATAGAGGTGTCAATTAACTAGATATATATTTTTCAGCTCCTTTACTTTTAGAAATGAACATTATTTATAAAAAAACATAGTACTATTTAATTTATTATAATTTGCATCTATAGATTAGAGCAAAATTAAAATTTCTAAGAAGAAAGGTTATATTCGAGTATTTAAATTCAATTGTTATTTATAAATGAAATCAATTACAATATTAGTACGTGTTTTCTTTATCATCTGTTGATACAGAATGATCTTTATATAATAAAAATAATTACATTATCTATTTGATCCTTTAACAGACTTCTCATTATTTGTTGGTTTCTTCTCACTATTGGCAAAACTAAAGTTACTTTGTCTGGAATTGCAGGTGAATGTCATTGGTTACGTTTTATTTTTTTACGAACAGGAGTCATTTTAGAATTAAACTAATTTTTAGGAGAAGTTGGCAGAGAATTCTTCATCATCTAGGATTCTGTTCAAAATTTATTCTTATAATGGACTTGGTTTGATAAACGAAGAATTATCATTAATTTCCTAATTTTCTGTGAAGCCTGTATTTGGGTATGGCAGTTAAAATTTAACAGGTTTACAAATTAATTTTGGTTTATTAGAAGCATAAGTTTAATTGGGACGATTTGATTATTGTTTGACTATCGGCTGATGTGCTGACATTTACGAGATTTCTGTTTAAAAGGTTTCATTATGATTCGTAATTTCTTCAAATGAAATAGTTTATTTAGCTCTGGAGGATGATAATTTTGATTCAAGCGAACCTATTTTAATGTTAGCTTTGTGTAATTTTTATTTTAAGTTCATGACATAATTGTCTATTTTCATAATATATTGATTATCCTTTTAAATTAGAGTTTACAATTACCCTTTGCTAAATTCTTTTTAATTCTTATAATTCTTCTAAAGCTTATTTGTATTCATGATCTCTTTCGCTTAACTATTTTTTTAACTTAGATATTTCCAACCTATAAGAAGCATCTCTTTATTGCAATTTGTGTATTGTCTTGATTTTATAATTTCAAATTACTTCTTTTAATTATTATGTGGACTATTATTACTAGCTGTTACTTCTCATTAAATTGTTTAATTATTAAAATTATAATACTTTGTTATTATAATTTTGCTTCTTTTTGAACTAGACTTAAGCATAAAAGTGATAATAAATTTAAATTTTATACTTTATTGTTAAAAACTTATCATAAAGTTGAAAAAATATTATATATCTACTTATCTAATGTAAACATTTTATTTAGAGATCACTAAGAGTTCGTTTAGTTTGAATATAGTTTGCTTATAGTATGAAATACCGCGATTAGAATTATGATAGCATGAAAACTTATGTAATCAATAATCTTGGATCAATAGATATTTCGAATTTTAGATTAAATTAGAGAATTTTGTGAACCCTTTGATTAATTGTAAATCAACTGATTAAATTAGTTATCCAAATAATAAGTTTCCTTGCAAAAAGTATAAGAATAATAATTTAGTAATCAATAGATTTATTAATAATATGAAGCACTTTTAAGAACATGTATTTTTATCAACAAATCATCTAAAATGTTATATAATGTTATATTCTGAGTTTATAAATGATAAAAACTATACGTTATACATATATAAAATTAAATATTTACATAATGCCTTTTCATAAAAATCATTATTATTGTTTTTGCTGGTTTTGAAGTTCATATGTCAATTTAACGGGAAGAAACTCAGAGGATTTATTTTCCATTTAATCTTTTATATACTTTTCCAATTAGTTGCACTCTGTGATTGGCCTTTTTTTAATATATATTAGGTAGAATAGCATATGATATACATTATGCTCTAAATAAATGTGCTAATACCAACCATTTTTTGTCCTAAATTGATATGATATAAAATTACTTAGAATCAATCTCATTTCTTTCGAGACTACAAATAAAACATTTTCCTTGTATATCTTTCAAAAGTTCTTGCCTCTGATCACGCAATTCACCAAACTTATCCACTATGATACCGAAAATCATTTATAAAAACAAGATATTAAAGATAATGAAAAAAGTGAGGTCAAAGAAATACCTCTTCCAATATTTAGCTGGTTCTTCAAAAGGATCAGCATAATCAGAGAGAGTATCACCTATACCACCACCATTTCTTAGACCAAAATTAATAACGTGTGCTATAGAGTAACCTAATGAATCTTAAGCGAATTTTGATTCATCCTTAAAATCCCCACTAAATGATAGTTTTATTAAAAATCCATATAAGACCAACCCTATAAGTCCTAATAGTCCAAATATTAATAGATTTTTGGTGTTTTCAGTAAAAGCTTTAATGATATTCTACAAAACTTCTGATCTTTTTACGATGTCTAATAATAATATTGCGTAAACATAGTTGTTAAAGAATGCTATGGCAGTAATTCCAAAGATTATAAGCTAATTAATAATATCTTATTTTACATTATATAAATTATCGAAATCTATCAATAGTAATACAATTATTTTCCTTAATGGATTTTTCCTAACTTATTATTACTCAAAATTATTCTCCATATAACCTACAAATTCATAATATTTCTTCTTATATTCTGGAATCTTAAATCCAGCCTCAATTTTTAGATTTTAGATTTGTTTCACATTAGTTTCTCCTCTTCTAAAATTAACTGCAATAGGGTATCGTTCGATTGCACAAAAGATAATAATGATTAAATTCAATATTAATTAAATCACAGTTATAATCTACATACATTATACAACTTACATTATTTAAATACAATACTATTTATACTTTTTTCGAATCAGTAATTATTTCGTCTTCTTCATTATCACCTTCAACCAAGTTTCCATCTGCTATATTATCTGGCATTAAAATAAAGAATAGCACAATAACAACACAAAGAATATAAGATACATCTTTTAAAGTTCTCCAATGCTTTTATCCAAAATGCATAATAGGAATAGTACTGACATTTTGATAATGAGCCATTTAAGAATGATAAAAACCGATATTTTCCAAAAAACTTGTAATTCTATCTTCATCTGTTTCTCTATTAGATTCATAAATCAAATTTTATCTAATATTTTCAGTCATATATTTGCAAACAAACGGTTTTTGAAATAGAATTCTCTCTATTTAACCAAATTGGTTAACTACTTCAATCCTCCCAATGAATTCCCTATAGAACAAAAAGAATTCATCTTCCCTTGACACTTAAACTAATTTAGATTATGTATTTTATTTTTCTTCATTAAATTCATCAAATAAATCATTATTAACTTACTAAGTATCAACTACTTTTTAATAATACTCAGGATGTTGACTTATAGAAAACGTTTTTTCAATCACATTTCTTAGACTAATATCTTAGTACATTTGATCTTCCTTAATCAAATCTTGTTCTATGGCCATGCTCTCAAATTAGAATATTTTAAATTTTTAATCAGTGCTATAATTAGATAGTTTAAGACCAATAATAAAGATATTTAAGCCTGTCTCAATTAAAAGAGAATCTTCCCTTGTTTTATAACCATTTATGCAGAAACTTTTATTACATAAATTTTCCTTACATGGAAGTCTGCAATATTTGTCAACACAAATAACTGACTTTTTAGGAAAGATTCTACAATTATATATTTTTTTGGCTAATGACATAAGGAATTCATTATTTAAATTTTCCAATAAAAATTTATACACTTGTTTATTTTCATTCGCATTACCCTCCAATAAGGATATCAGCAATTAAATATATATGTAGAGAGTTTACAATAATTAAAAGTATACATTCGATACTTTTTTTGACTGAGGAATTAATGCTGTGTCTAAATCTGAATGATCAAATAATTCATTAAATCCAGAGAATAATCGAGAATTTTTTGTGATTTCTTTTTTGTTTTCATTAAGACCAGTTGAAAACTCTATTAAACTGAGTAATCCCTATTAATACAATTCCCATTTCTTAGAATTCTCTACAGATTTATCTGATAAAAAATTCACTAATAGATTAGTTGTTTCTAAAACGAAATTAAAATTATTGGTAATTGAATCTTGCTAATTCTGTATTCTCAAAAACTTTTAGAACTCTATATGAACATTTTCACATAATCCCTATAAGACTTATAGCACCTTAATACATATATCTAGATAGTCTGAATTCTTAGAAGAACTCAATTCTTCCAATTTTATACCCACATCAGTACTATAAAACTCCCTAAAGAATTGAATGAATATTTTCTTATGCTTCTTATGGTTCTATAATAGAGTATAAAATCTCTGTTGCACTTACATATTACCAAAGTCTAATAAAAGATGTAACAATGTTAAGGAATCGAGTTATTCATTTGTATTTTAATGATTTAGTTACTCAATTGCAATAACATGTATATCATTTTCTGATATTATGTTTTGGTATGTTGTATATTATTCAATAGTATTTTACGAACCTTATTTGTTTTCATTTTCATTAATATCATCATCATCATCATCTTCAAGTTCCCCTTGATTTATGTAAGTCTTAGCTGGCTTTTTCATTTCTAAAAAAATTTTGCATAATTTAATTAAATATTGAGGATATTATGAAAATATTTACTTGCATTTAATTATAAATTCCTTAAATTTATCTTCCTAAAGTAAACCATTGGCCTATTAAGATAAGTCATGTAGAAAGAATAAAATTTGTACATCTTCTGACAATGGATTTGAAATTTCCCCTTGGCATTTCTTTTTGACGAAGAGCTTTTTGATTTCTTCTTCTTTTTTCTTTTGAAACTATTCCTTTAAAATCTATAAGTTAAGTTCATCTCTCAATCTTTCTTATGCTTAAGTTGTTGTTTCATTGTATTCATTTT